AGTAATAATGCTCAAAGGTAAGTGGTACGCGAAAATCATCGTACGCAAATCGAACTATATGTGCAATAGATTTGCGTGCTAATTAGGCTCATTAGTAACTCAGAAACGTGTTTTGATATTTTTCGTGCAACTCTCAGTGAACGATTCAACTAAGCTGGATAGCGATTTTTCACTGCCATCCGAATGAAAGTAGAAAGATTCAGTCGCAATTATGTACGGATGCTAAGCACTTAGAATGATATTTCCATATGGTGTCATTTAGTTACATGAGACAAGTGAATGAATAGGAAGGTCGATTTGAGCGGACTAGTGCTCGCCTACAGGATTGTAAATGTGATGTGGAAGTCAAAGTGACCTGGGCATTTCGGACGCCATGATATGGAAACTATTTATTTGCTTTTAGTATGGAAGACACCTACTTTGCTTGACTACCCATTTACAGTTCAACTGTTTCAACCATCTCTTCTATCTTGTTGCAGCAATTTAAAGGAATGTCTAATATATGGTTACTCGTGTTCGTTGTCTTGACCTTGACCCTTACGGAAGGTGAGTGAGTTCTTACTAAGTAATAAAATGTGGCAATATCCTATACTTTATCCATCACTGTTTTTCTGTAAGCCTAAGGATGTCATAAAGTTTAAATTTTATGATTACTAGAAATCTGCCAGGCTTTTTAAGCCTTGTGGCAAAATAACGTGAATTTATTAGTTAGATCCGCATAAACTGCCCACTTATATTTCGTTCTCGAAGACAATACCACTCTCCAGAGGCGTCTTTTAATGTTGACGGAATGATAGAACTTATTCAGGTATGATAAGAGTGGGGAACCTCAAATAAGCATTTCTGAATGATAATGTCTACTGTAGTATACGTACTTTGCCAAATAACAATACAACATAAGTTGCCATATAATGTATATCGGTACAACTCACACAAATTATCTGGCTTCAGGCAAATGAGTCTGGATTAACCGTTTAATCAGGCATGAATCAGTCGAATTTTTTACGCCTTTGAGTGGTCAAGTGAATAGATGAGTTCATGGTGGGACAATATCAACGTGGTAAGTACTATTACGAAATGACTGTAGCCTCGTTATTTTTTCAAGTCGGCTAGCAGCGAAAAATTGCCAAAATTTGATGTTGCACCTCCACAGCACCAGTGTGTGCAAAGAGGTCTACGGGGATAAATCCGCAAAGTATATCAAGCATAACTGAGTCATCTGATTCGTTTTTAAGTGGCTGGCTGGTGTGGCAACAAGTGCAAATCCGTCATCAAAAACTGATATGCATTAGGGATGTCCTTCATACACCGAAGAACATCCTATGTGGCAACTCATACAAACTCATACATGAACTTGACTTGCTTCTATGCCGTATCGTCTGAATTTGGAAGGCAAAGGTAAAGGCTGCGTTAAACTAACTGATTTGTGTCAATTCGGCACCTAGTTCTGCTACAGGAATTCCGATGTACAGCTTGTGGTACAACATTCACTAACATCCTGTTTTTCCCTGAATTCTTACCATCACGCTCGTTCTTTGCCCACTGAGCTAAACAGCAGTGCTTGAAATTTCTTTGAGTTGATACAGCACATATGATTTTTTGTGTGTACCAAGCGTATTGGTTAGAAACGTACTTAACATCCATCTAAGTTGCTGGATGATATCAGACGTGTAAACAAGGTGTATGTCATCGTAATATATCGGGAAAATAAGGTTGTGACTAATGCTAATCTAGACAAGTATGTGTTTTTGAAGAAGTCTTTTGTACGATTTATTTCCGTTCCACACTGATGATCATGAAACTTTTTTCACTGGGCCCATTTTGGATCCTTTTTGGAAAGGGTAAGAGAAAGTGCTTGAACTAGCTTAGCGAGTTTATTTGATCATTTCGATCACTTAGAGTGACCATAATTAGAATGAAGAGATGAAGAACTTGGTCTTTATTAGAGCAAGCAAAAGGATTCAGCTAGAGTAATATCGTGAGAATTGTACTACAGGGAATAAAAATATGCCACCGGCCGGAGCAAGTGCTGTACCATGAAACAAGGGGAAAAATCCCGACGCGCTCACGATGTTAAATAATTATTCATACTTTGATGCTAGAGGGACTCGGTTTCTCTGTTTGGTTTGACATTTCCGACGCTTCATTCTGGGTGATGTAGTTTATACTATTTTGGGATTTTTTTCGCTTCTTCCCTGATGTAAGCGGGTGCTGCAGGTAGAAACAAGCCACAAACGTACAAAAGGTTGCTTGCCATTTAGTTTCTTCCAGCGTCATGCCACTTCAAAAATGCTTCATCCATAGCTCTCAATCGAAAATATTTCTTCTAATAAGCACGTCTTCAAGCTGCGTAAAAACAAGTTACACTGCTTGATCCCAAATACGGACCGTGTAGTGCGAGTTCAGGTGTCTCAGTAGTTTGCTGCATCTTTATCCTACAGTCCAGTCAAATTCTAACCTAATTGTTGGCTAATCGGGGAGTGCGACCTAAGCTGAAAAACAGGTCAGTCGTTTGCCCCGGGTTTCACTATCCAACCCATTCTGGTGCCTAATCTATAATTGTCCGTACCGTATCTACTTATACGCTCCAGCAAAGTTGATCATTCTTCTACTAATAATTTAACGTAGTCTAAGTTATGGTGACCAATCCGTCCCATAGTCAGGGTTTCAACCTTAAAAATGCCACCCACGTGTTGCCGAACAGAAAGTGTATTAAACTTGTAGATACTTCCAGATATGAAAGAATACAATAAAAAGCGGAATCCCTGTTCTATTCCCTTGCACATTCTCTGTAGTAAATGAAGCATATCCTCTGAAAACCTGTTAACAAATGTCTCACATGAGACCAGTTATTGATGTCTTACATATCCTTGTTCTAAAGTTCCATTTGTTCTTCATCTCCTTAGTCATGTCCGACAAGCACAATAAAGTATACGGACGCGCGATACTGAGGCCTGAAGAGCATAGCCAATATGACTACCCTCTCAGGCGGAGAAGGATGAGACCCAAGACTACAGCACACCGCGGACGGCTTGGTGATGAAATATTATGGTTCTGATCCCTCCTACGGAAGACATACAAACTCAATTGACCTATAAAGTCTGCATACACATGTGATGATACCACAATTTTTCTGCTTTCTCCTTGGGATTAAGACTAGGCACGTGGTAACTTCAAGCTGAATGGGAAAAACGGGTAATCGCTTGGTTGCTAGCGCTATGAATTGTAGAGTCTTTCAGGAATATATCAGTGGCCGTAAGGTTTAAGTGTAGAACAGGAAAATCAACAAAGTCACCAGACTATGTATTCTTGTCGCTTCAAAGTGTCCTGAATCCAAATGCCGATGGAGCCTATATTGCAGGTTGTTTTAGGAGCTCGGATAGACGAGTTGGAGAAAAAGGGGGTTCCGTTGATGACCGTGAGAAACCGTTTACCCTAAAAATTTAGCTTTCACCCGGGCTTGGGAACGGGTCACAAAACATTTGTTCTTACGACCGTGAATCGACATACGTACACCTACACCAATTTGACCCTTACTATTTGAAAACGATGTCGTTAACCACTGCACTATTGTGTGCCATTGAATTTCGTTGGAGAGATCGCAAGCAGGCTGTGCAATGAGCTGCATAGTTTTAAGATGTGCGTACATTTCATTTATCACTGCTATCTTGTGGAATGTTGCACCAATAAAGGTTCCTATGTGCTTCCGATATCTTCGGAACTCCCGAGGTGTCTTCAGTGCGTGAGACATCTTCCTCTGCGTAACTACCCTATTTGACTGCAGAGTAATTTTACTACTGAGCTCGGTGTGGCTCATTGATTAAGGCGCAAACTTAATGAGTTGAAGGTCTGTGGTTTGAATCTGACCTCTGCATCTCGACTGCTCCTATTTATGCTTGAACAACCTGGCAGTATTTCAGTCCTCGTGCTTGCTTCTGGTGGCGTCGTACCGAAAGGGTGCTACAACTAAACCATTATTCATTATTTATTATTACCACGCACAAAGTTGGAAAGCATTTTGATGAATTGGTCACGCGTTCACAGCTAATGAGCTGGAATGTATGGAAACGCCAGCTACCTTAGGCATTGGCTACATTTTACCTCCTCCTGTGGTGACGTGAGGCTCTAGTCAGCTTTGAAAAACTGAAGAATAAACAAGACATGCTAGGGACCTGCTTTACTAGTAATCAGAGTTAATCCAACGTGTCATCTATTCATTGGTTCGGAAGCGGATACAATTTCATGAGCTAACTTCCTGTGATATCTGCGGCTTTTTCAAAGTCGTATCGGTTTCGGACTACTCATAACGTGCTCAAGTTAGAAAATGTTCACATAACTGCATTGTGGGTCTCTTTCATTCAGTGGAAGGAATGCGGTGGGATCACGACTTGCATCCTACCAAGCATGCTTCATGTCAATATTTAACTTTTTCTAGATTACCCATGTTGACCGATCTAGACGTTCACGTTGTAGAGTCCATAGATGCACAGAGTAATTGACAGTCTTGTACGCTTTGAACCACACTTATTACGATGATCCGTGTATATTAACAAACTTCATACTAAAGTTTACCCTAAAACACACATGTTGAAGGAATGGTTTGTGCCTTCCGCAGTTTTCCACCGGGATTGAAGTGAGTTAATTAGGCCCATATATGATACAACGGAGATTTTGGAAAAGCAAGCAACCAGCAGTCGAAACATTGCTGCGAAGGACGTACGAGCAGAAAGTTAAGGTGTATGTGACTCTTATTGCCTTAACTACTTCACCAGTCTGAAGGGATAATCAAGCATATATCGGAGGAAACATCACAGTCATTTTGGAACCTGCAAGAAAATTTATGGTCTGGTGTTCCAACTAGTCAGATTTTTCGCCTTTCTGTAGATAAATTCCCACTTAAGCAATTCTCGCCAACCCCAGCTGTGTCCCACAAGAGCTAATGGAGATAAAAAGTAGTGGCCTGACCATACCGTAGATGGATATTTACGAGTATGTTTGTACAGAAATCGAGGTTGTGTTTTCACTGTCAGTCAGTGGTTCAAAATTCACGGCAGTTCAGCGGCTGTAATTGAGATAGAAACAAAGAATGTTTACGAGTACTCAGAGGCTACCTGACTTTTAAGAAAAACAGACGATTCTTTGTAAATCACGCGCATAGCATTAACTTGGTTAAATGATGAATTTATTTTAATGTGTGGGCCCAGACAAATCTACATACCCGGCTGGCTTGGGCAGTAAAAGCTTGCAGCATCATATAAAAAAGAAATTACCTGAGAAGTTGGGCTGAAGTCTTCCAAACCCTGGCCGGTAGATAACTCACATACTCTCCGAGGTGGCGTTTTGGGAACGTCCATAGAATATTTCCTAAGGAAAACTTGCAGAATGAAGAGATCTGCCGCCGGTACTCAGTCGCATCTCGACCTCAGCTGTATTAGCATGTCTGCTGCGCAATCAACGCACAGATTTTGGACTTTCTTAAGTCAGACAATAAGCAGTGATGGAATTGGAACCCAATAATCCGTCTATGGAATATTGTTTAAACTCAAAAATGGAGTATAGACACGGCTGATATGACAGTGGTATAGTTTGTTTTCCGCATCAAACTCTGGATAGATAACGTGTGCTCCTAAAAGTCTGTGTAAATGCAGGCACTTGAGTCACCAGTGTGTCTGTTGTGAACACGTGTAGTGTTATTCCTTTGGTGCTGTGTAACACCAGCTGATTACCAGTAATTTTGATGTATAATCGCGGGTGTTGGGAGAATTTCGTGGTTTCAACCACTGTGCCTTATCTACCAGTTAGCAGGAGCCTCGCTTTTGGCCCAATAAACGCAGTAAGCACGCGGTTTAGAAGGCGCTTGCAATCAGAAAAGGGCTGAATGATCACGTGACCAAGCACCAAGGTCATAGCGGTCAACAGGCAGCGGTACAGAAAATACCATCAAAAGAGCTGCGGTTTCGCTTCATTAACCTTAATCGATTCCTTTGACATTCTGCGGAGCTAGTGGAAAACTGAACACCCCGAAGCACACGCACTACCCTGAACCTTGCTTCATTCCTAACTCATTCTACGTTGCGCTGACACCTTGAAATTCAAAAGAGTTTCCTAATTATATGTTTGCTGAGTCCTGAAAATTTCGACTCAAAGGGTCGTTAAACGGCATCATCTACCATAGGTTAAATGCATCATACGAACAGAAATCTCTCCGCAACAACGTTTTGGGGGTAATCTGGGACGAGTAATGCATGACTGCAAGGTAATAAAAAATAAGTCAGACTAAGTCTAGATGGCTGCAAAATGGCTCTGTCCTTAGATGTAAGTTCTAAAAATTTCTAGAGGTGCCAGCTGAATGCACAACTGGCAGGTTTCCCACAAGATGGGTGATGCCTTCAGGTACAGTCATGCAAATCCCCTACTGATCGCAAGTTGACTGCGAACAACCGGCTAAAGGATTATAACCTTATTTTCTGTCATAGATGACGTCACTACAAATGAACAGAATTTCTGAGGCAAATGGTGACCGCATGACCACACAGTTACAGATCTTGAGCGGCAATCTTGAAGTTGGGCACCACAACAATTACGCTGCGTGCGACACACAGAACCACAAAAGGTTCCTCATGCCCCTAATAAAATTGGCTAGAATATATGTGGGACAACATCACCTGAGTACTTTAAAGTACTATGCCATGAAGGAAAATTGCTCTGAGTCACGTTGCGTGAGCCGAAAATTATTCCATTATTAAAATGAACTGAATCAACTGCTTGACATTTTGATCGATTCATCTATGCGTTATTGAATTGTTTGATGTTTCTTCAGAAGCGGAACGCAAATATTTACCTTGCTTCATGCCATTGGGGCTATCTCACCTCATGTAGAGAAAAAAATGTATTATAGATACCACCAACAGGACTATACACCATTGTCGAAATGAATAGCACCAAACTTACGATCGGTCCAGTAATCTTCTGGTCCCTCAGATTCTTTCATAAACCACTCATTTTCTGGAAATCGGCCTTGGAAATTGACATTTTAAGAAAGAAGACATTTAAAATCGAAACTCGGGATGAGATCATTTATAAACATACGGTTCAAAATAGCAGTTCAATGAGTCGTATTCACTCTTCGAATGAAGGCTACCGTTTTTAAGCCACGTGAGAATCCTACTATCACTGGCTTTAAAAATAGGTATCTGTTGTGCCAGAGAATTAAGTTTACCTATTTTCTTGTGGTCTTCTGGTTTAGCGCGAATATGTTTCCACCGTAACCGGCTTTCGTTTTTAGCTGTCACTCCGTGCTATTTGTATCTGACTACTTAAAATTGCCTTATTAGAGCACCTCCGCCGTTCCACTGATAACCATATCCCATGGTTGCATGAATCTACTGGTGCCTTGAATCGAATTGGTCACTATTAGTATTATAATGAGTATTATTAGTGTTGTAATTGATATTTTCAGCAATAAGAAAGGTCACGTCAGCTACAATCGATCCTTTGAAGCGTATAGTGAATTTTCTGTAGAATCCATTGCCAATTGAGAAATATCTAAAAAGGAGAGGGGTTAGAGTAAAACCAACAGCACGCTCTTGCTTGTAAAAACTAGCTGTCCTGGGGTAATTAGGCAATGAAAATTATGAACGCCATTCATAAAAAGCCTGGATCAAACTAAAACTTCGCGGGATTTAGCTGGTTACATCGCTCATCGTATGCCAACACCTGGGATGAATTATTAGAATGACCTGAAGGGACAGTTTTCCACCATTTTGTTGTCTTCACTATTTTGCCTGAGGTATGCTTAATGGTGCATCCCATCCTCTTTATTCACATGTTTAGTTAGCAAGGTCTTCAGTCTATACTAGTAACACTTTTTACTACTTGCGTGGTCCAACTTCTCTGTGCAATAATTGAACTTATACAGTTTTTAGCTCCGAGAGCATAAAAGTCCAAATTTAGGTAGATGCACCCACTTAATTCTCATTTTTGGTTTTGTCGTTCAGAATTATAGACCTTTATTCACTTTTTATGATAGAAATGTGGTGATATCTTATCAGCCAGTCAGGTCTCGGTTAAGTGTCTACTCTTATTGAACTGGGATTTTTGGACAGGTGTGTAGTATAATAATGGAGGAACTTGTACACCGTATACGTGCAGCTTTTACATCACCAGCGTAAATCTCTCCCCCAAGAACCCTCAAAGACGAAATGATATAAGCAATATTTTGGTCGACATGCGGTAGACCGAGTCGCGCAATCAAGAAATGAGTGAAGAAGTTTGTTTTCTTTCTCTTCATATTTGGTTTTGGGTTACTCTATGGACAGGCTTGTTCTACTTACGGTGTGCTGATGAAAGGGGCGTTGTTCAGTACACAAACACTTGAACCTTATGTGTCTCGTTTTCATTAACGTATTGTGATCTTAGCCTTTGATCTCTTGTGATGTGTTTGAACTTTACAAGTTCACATGTGTGAAACTGGGCTCATCTTATTACACACCCTGTTCAAGCTAGTGTGACAACCGAAATGGTGACAGATCTGATGAGTTTTTAATTGCTGCTAGGGCAACCGTTGATCTATTTGCAGAGCTTGGCAATAAGCCAGTAAGCTAAATACCAATCTAGGTAAACGAACAACAAACAACACACAAAAACTGGTTTTGTTCTGTGTTCTGCTCTTTTGCCTGTGTGAAATTTTACCGACGAGCCCCAACCAGAATAAAAGGCACAATACAGTGCCACCACTAAGTGACTACTACAATTTTGCAATCAGAAGTGAGTAAGCGAAGCCAACAAAACAGAATAATAATAATAATAATAATAGAATAATAATATAGCAAGTGTCAGCACGGTAATCTCGCCAGAAATCAACTTTTCAGAAGCCACACACTGTCAACAGTTATCTCTAGACATCCATGTGATTTCTCTGCTATGATCCTACACTGGCTACAGTTTTGTCCCTGGGGCTGATTTGGTCTCCAAATAACGCAAGTGCTCTATAAAAATACGGTAAAATTTTCACTTTTTAAGGATGATTTTGCGGTCATGGAAGGAGTAATTTTCCAGCCACAAACCACTGGGGACGTGCATTTCTCGCCGCTCACAACTTTAGTCCATAGTTAGCTTAGTTAAAAATGGTCTTATATACAAAAGTAAAACACAATTTTCCTACCTTTCGAGCGTAAATTTATCATACACCGGAGCGAACAATATCGTTCTCTGCTTCCTCTTTTTTTTCTACTAAACCTTTATTGTTGGGGTCGTGGCGTACCCACTGACTGACCTCAGTGAGTAGAGTGTGAACTTTTGATGAGAACAATAAAGAAGTGAGCTTTCAATTCCACATAGTATGTTTCCTCCCTTTCCTTCCAGTGTGCAGCACTATCAGAAATGAGAAGTTTGCGTAGCCAAATAAGGTGTGAAAAATGTGGCCATAGCTTTGGGCACATGATAGTTTCAGGTCGATTTCAAAGACAAGCTTGCAAAGTAGTGTGTTGCTGTCACCAGGCAGTTACAATCGACAAAAAACCTTATTTGGATGGAGATTCTGGCGCGTCAAGTGACTAGTCCCTCGTTATCGCTGCTGGCCGGATGGTAACCAAGGTTGGTTGTTTACAGAAGGTCAACTTTCTGAGAACTTCAGGAGACTGAGTGAAAGTAACTCAAGAAAGACTGCTTTTTCCTCAAATCTAGAACACGTTTTGAACTAATGGCCTAATTTGAACCCATCTGCCACGGAACTGAAAGGAATGCATGCTGTCATGCATACGCAAAAGTTTTGGCATAAATCCCAGCTTCAAACTACACATCAGTTGTCTAGGTTATTCATACTGTGCACTAGTGAGGTTGAAAGTTTCACGGATATTCTCACTGGGTACAGTGGGCGACAAGCAGACTGGGCATCATCATCATCATCAACGACAGCATGACATCAGTGCTCAACACCAATGCTTCACTGCCGTACAGCCATGACTTATTTGAAAGCCTTATTGTAAAGAAAAGA